TATTTATTCACCCAAACCATATTTGGTATCAATGTTATACCTAACATTCCTTCTTCTGTTTCTTGCCTTTGGCGGCCAGGTAAAAAACGCCGGCTAACCATAATTGAATGTGGGTGCGATATTAATGCGATGATTGATCTTGCCAAAGTTGCCGATCTGGTAAGTTGTATTGCTCTATCATGAGACAGAGATAGGTTTCCCCCAGATAAAAATTCGATTGAAGAAGCTTAACGTTAGGACAGGTAGACCTCGACTCTTACAACACTTCGCTTAGTGACCGGCACTGAAAAAAGGGGCTCATGGTAATTGTTCACACTTATGACCGTTTGCAGCATCCCTGTGGTCACGTGATCAAAATTCGGATGTTTGGCAGTTGACTCATATTTATGACGGTTGCAGTGTCCCGGGGTCATGTGATCCCCTTTTGCGAGTAAAGTGAATGGGGAGGCTAGATTCATTTAACAACCTGGTACTAATTCATCTCTCGGGCAAAACTCACTCAATAGATGTCTCACATAATAACAGAAATTTGGGGCTCCATCGTAAGTCAAGGACTACCTGCAAATGATTTTAGACCTATTTCTGAAGCCTAAAAGGTGTACAGTAGGGCCTCTGGTCACGAACGCTTCTGACCACTACCAAATCGGGTTCTGACCAAAAAATCCAGAACATTTTTGAATCCGGTCACTATTCAAAAATCAGGTGGCGATCAAACATGGCCGCGGCCGGTTTCCCCTTCCATGCCATCGGGTTGCAACCGAAGTTACGGAACAAATTACGGTCGTGACCAGAGGTTCTACTATAGCTGCCTTGTAAAATACATTAAGAATTGGTTTGCATCCTAAAATTATGGCCCAGGAAGAAGACGCCTTTCAATTCAATATCTGGTTTTTTTTTTTAGTCCATAACTGTAGACCCAAATTGTACGTTCTTGTTTGTTTCTTTTCACGTTCTTCTAGTAGTTGGAACTGTTTACTTGCCATGATAAATACCAGTTTATTTGATAACATATTTTCATTAATAATGAGATAGATGTTGAAAGCCAGAACACAACTATTTGTTTTAATAACTAGGAATGTCCGGTGGAGTATGGCCAGAGCATTACTTAAGGTCAGGAGTCTCCAACCTTGGGAACTTTGAAGACTTGTGGACTTTAACTCCCAGAATCCCTCAGCCAGCTAAAGAATTTTGGGAGTTGGAGTCTATGAGTCATAACGTTACCATGGTTGGAAACCCCAAACTAGGGGTCAGCAATCTTAAACACTCAAAAGAGCCATTTGGACCCATTTCCCACAGAAAAGAAAACACTGGGAGCCACAAAACCTGGGTGGGCATGGCCAACTCAACGTCACTCCCACCCACTCAACGTGTTTTCTGTGGGTCTCCCTCCCTCCTTCTCATTTCAACTTTTTGTGTTTTACCTTCTCAGGCCAGGCAAGGTGTAACTGGGAGGGGAGGGCAAGGGGCAGGGCCAGCCAGTGGTGAGATCACCCAACAGGGAGCCACAGCAGAGGGCCCAAAGAGCTGCATGCGGCTCCAGAGCTGCAGGTTGCTGACACCTGCCCCAAACCTAAGTAACTTTTCCTTTTGGAGAAAAGAGACACAGTGAGAACAGATTGTATCCCTGCCCCATCTACGGTGCCGATCCTTTTTGGTGTAAGCAACGTTATGCAACACACTGAAAAACATTATATAGGAAGCAAAAGAAATTATAAAGATGGGAGAGAGAAAAAGAAAAGCTAATTTGATGTAAGCATTGTTATGCAAAGCACCAAAAAACGGTGTATTGTAAGCAAAAGAAATCAAAGATGGGGGAAAAAAGAGAATTAATTTAAGTTATACCAATGCATTCAATAAATAAGCTCTTGAAAGTTGACCTCTATCAGTATTTACTTAGAGTTGCCATGTTTTAGTGAGATTTTTTAAAAAAGTGTAGTAAATTGGTTCCTACCCCCCAGGTGTATTTATTTATTTTCAATTTCCCTCTCAGGCTTTGATGCTGATCGATGCCAGTTTTGGATTTGAAATGGAAACCTTTGAATTTCTGAACATTTGTCAGGTCCATGGCTTCCCCAAGATCATGGGAGTTCTTACACACCTGGACAGCTTCAAAAATAACAAGCAGCTCAAGAAGACCAAAAAGAGATTAAAGCATCGGTTCTGGACCGAGGTTTATCAGGTATGGCATGCGTCAACTTGCCTTCAGTGGCTGGGAAAATGTGTCAAAATACAGGAAAAATCTAGAGGTAATTCTCTTTAAAATCACAGATTGACGTGTCCTGTTTGAACTAGTTTTCATCTTGGTTTGATGTGATTGAATCGAACTAATTTTACATTCAAGGAAAGAAATACGGTTGGATAAAAAAAAACAGTTAAAGGCAGTGAATTGATTGCATTGCAACTTAAGCATACACATTCTATGAATTTATTTAATTTTTAAACTTAGGGTGCCAAATTGTTCTACCTTTCCGGCATGGTGCATGGAGACTATCAAAAACAGGAAATCCACAATCTAGGGAGGTTTATCTCCGTAATGAAATTCCGCCCCCTGATTTGGCAGACAACTCATCCCTACGTCTTGGTGGACAGGTAATTTCTTTTATTCCACTTGACCTTTCTGCACTCGCTTCCCTCCCTCCCTTCCTTGAACTCCCTCCCTCTTTCCCTTCCTTCCTCCCTCCCTTCCTTGAACTCCCTCCCTCTTTCCCTTCCTTCCTTACTCCCTCCCTTCCTTCCTTGACCGTCCTTCCTTCTTTGTCCTTCCTTCCTTCCTTCATTGTCCTTCCTTCGTTGTCCTTCCTTCCTTCCTTCCTTCCTTCCTTCCTTCCTTCCTTCCTTCCTTCCTTCCTTCCTTCCCAAACAATAGCCCTTAGACTTATATACCACTTTATAGTGCTTTCCAACCCTCCCTAAGCCGTTTCCAGAGTCTAACAACTTGAAAGGATTTGGGAAAATGTAGATGAGCCTGAAGAAAAGTTCACTTTAAAGATACAGCAAAGTATTCAAAGTTTCAGGTAGTTAAAGGGAGGCTAACCATCAGGAATGGCATGTATTGTTGTTATTTACTTATATGCCACCCTTTTCCCCAACACAACAACTATTGTGCCAGTTTAGAGTACACAGAATGTTTTCCATCTCCTTCTAAACATTCTAACCCTGATATTCTTATAATGTGCAGGATGGAAGATTTGACAAACCCAGAGGCCATCAGAGTTAATCCAAAGTGCGACCGGAAGGTTTCTCTTTATGGTTATCTAAGAGGAGCCCACTTGAAAAACAAAAGCCAAATACACATGGCAGGTGAGATAGAACTGGAAGGTTTTTTTCCCCCTTTGCTACTATATTTTGTCGTCAAGCATCAGTGAAGTACTTCTAAAGAGATGTCAAGAGCTTCCTCACTGCCTGGGAAGAACGCGGAGAGTCATAAAACAATCTTAGCTTTGAAAAGGGGCTTGTGTTCCTATTTAAGGTGGGAAATAGGAAAGGTTGACCGTGATTTGAAGGAAGGGCTTTGAGCCAAACATGTCAACAGAACATCTCTCCGCAGTTCATTAAAGCAGCCCCACTATTTCCAGCCTTTCATACAAGCCTGAAAAAAAAAGAAAGAGAGAGAGAGAGAGAGAGGTCATTGCTTTTAAGCGTGGCATAAGCCAGTGTCTTTCATCCTCAGCAGCTTTAAAGTATGTGAACTTCATCTCCTAGAATTCCCCACTCAGCAAGTCCACACACTTTAAAGTTGCTGAGGTTGGAAGACACTAGCATGAACATTAATGTGTGGATTTCTTAAAGCATTTGAGCTTTTCGTGGAAGGCTGAATAAATTTGGGCTGCTTGAACAGATAGAGCCGGCCGATGCTCAGTTGAGGTCCAAAGTCCTTCTGTATCATTTTGGATGTGAGTGAAGTCTTAGATGACAACTATTAAGGTCTTAACTGTGGGGTTATCAGCAAGCATCTTGCCTAAAACCAGCATCAGGCAGGCAGTTGTACTAAATATTTAATTAAAGAAATGTTTATATTCCTTTCTAACCTGGTACCTGTTTTATTTCCTTGAAGTTAGGGAGTCTGACAGTTTAGTTTTAAAGTTATAGAATTTTTTTTTACCATTGAAACAGTGTCACTGTTATGAGAAGGGTGGCCAGGCAGATCATTGAAACAAATCAGTAACTTTGTTTTGCAATTTTTAGATCTCCATCTCATTTATTTATGTATGAAATGCAAAGCAAATTACAGTAATATCCGTGTTTCCCTGAAAATAAGACCAGGTCTTATATTAAATTTTGTGCCAAAAGATGTATTAGGGCTTATTTTCTGGTTTGGTCTTATTTTCAGCGAAATACGGCACTAAATGAATTATGGCTGACAATCTTAACTGGAGTTTATTTTAGGGTAGGGCTTATATTACAAGCATCCTGAAAAATCATGCTAGGGCTTATTTTACGGTTGGGTCTTAATTTCGGAGAAACACGGTAAGTTTTATAAGTTTGTGTGTGTGTGTTATAAATCTCAACAGATTATTTATATTGTGAGGCAGAATAAAGAAATGTTGGGAGCAGGAAGCCAAGGGTTAGAATTAAACTCTTTTTCATCAGCAATGAAGGTCCAACAGCTTTCTTCGCTTCAGTGATAAATCTAACGCGTGATCTTTCCTCTGCGAATCCATTTAAGATTTTGTTGATGTCATTGTGATCCTTGTCATTTTGACGCCGGTGTGATCTTTTCCCCTCGTCAGGTGTCGGGGATTTCACTGTCAGCGACGTCAGCTTCCTGCCAGATCCTTGCGCCCTTCCTGAGCATCAAAAGAAACGAGGCTTGAACGAGAAGGAGAAACTGATCTACGCCCCGCTCTCAGGGGTGGGGGGCTTGGTATACGACAAAGACGCCGTGTATATTGACCTCGGGGGAAGCCACTCCCACCGGGGCAGAGAGGTAGGACTTAAGGCTCGGCGCTTCATTTTCTGTTTATGAATTGCTGTTCATTGTTAAAGCATTTGTTGGGTAGCACCCTGGCCTGGCCGGGAGGAGGAATGAAGCTCAGTGTTAGCCTGGAGTCAGTGCTTAACCACAAGAGGGTGAGAACAGACCACCCCCTAAATTCCTTAAAGACTTATGTAAGCCTTGTTCCCAAGACAAGGCTGGGAAGATTCCTGTATTACAGGCAGAAGGCAATAAAGGAGTTAGCTTGAACTCTGCTCTCTGTATCAAGATTGAAAAACGCTTAAGCTTCCTGTGACTATTATTGCTTTTCAACTTGCCAAAGAATGTGGGGGGGGAGGGTGAGCTGGAATGCGGAGGCTACAGTCTTCGACCGTGAGAGCCAAGGACATGTCTGCAGGTATTGGCCAGGACATAGACTGTTGTCGAAACAAAAGGACGATTCCCAATTGGACAGTAATAATCTTGTTCCATGGGAGGAGGGGATGAAACTCATTTTTTAATTACGCAGGAATGCGCAAGAAAAATTAGAGTCGGTTTTGTTTTTCCTCAGTGCCGAAATGAGGTAGTCAATAAAGTTTTGCTTTTGGGGTTTTAAAGTTCCTGAAAAGTTCCTGCTTTTATTGGGTCCATTAGTCAGATGGTTGACTCTCTGGTTGTTTGCGCCTGACAGCAATTAGCAATAGTATTTAAGCTTATATGCTGCCCCGTAGTGCTTTACAGCCCTCACTTGAGTGGCTTACAACATAAAGCATTATTTGCATATCGACCCCAACAGCCTGGGTCCTCGTTTTACCGACCTCAGAAGGGTGGAAGGCAAAGTCAACCCTGAGCCTTGTCAGGATCAAACTCCAGCCTGTGGTCAGAGTTGGCCTGCAAACTCTGTCGTGGTGGCGCGGTGGTTAGAATGCAGTATTGCAGGCGGACTTTGCCCACTGCCAGGAGTTCGATCCTGACCGGCTCAAGGTCGACTCAGCCTTCCATCCTTCCGAGGTGGGTCAAATGAGGATCCAGATTGTTGGGGGCAAGAGGCTGACTCTGTAAACCGCTTAGAGAGGGCGGTAAAATCACTGTGAAGCGCTATATAAGTCTAAGGGCTATTGCTAATACTGCACTTTAGGCACTGTGCCACCGGGCCTCAATTATTTGATGGCTGTCCTCATTTTGTGTTGAAAAAAAATGGCTTTAACTAATCCCCTATTTTTGAACATAGGTGGTGATAGCAGAGATTCTCAAATTTGGATTGGCCTCTGTAGCTTTTGCCTAATATAGGACTTTGTCAATTGTTGGAAAAGAAGTTTTATTTTATTCTTAAAAAGTCTGGTTGGCCTTTGGGACAGAAGACTAAATAAAGCGTGAATATCAATTAACTTTTGTCCTCCTGAGCAGCCTTTTGCACGCCTTGAAGTATTCAGTGATTATTGGCAGGCTACTAAAACAGTACTGTGATGAATATCTTCGTGAAACAGACCTTACAAAAGAGTGACTGAAATGCTCTTGATTCATCAGGAGGAAGAAAGACCGAACCACGAGCTCGTCCAGAGTCTCATCTCGGCACATTCCACCATCGATGCCAAGATGGCTTCCAGCAAAGTCTCTCTCTTCATGGACTCCAAGCCTTTAGAGACAGAGGATGTTGAAAACGAGAGGTAAGCGGTAGGTTCACACACAATCCTTCAGACGTCATGGGTGCGTCATCGCTGGAGGCTTTTAAGAAGGGACTGGACAGCCACTTGTCTCAAATGGGATAGCGTCTCCTGTTTGAGCAGGGGGCTGGACTAGACTTCCAGGCCCCTTCTAACTCTAATCTGAATTGAAAATTGAAAAGTTGTTGATTGTAACAATAGCATTTGGACTAATATACTGCTTCACAGTGCTTCACAGCCCTCTCTAAGTGGTTTAAAGAGTTAGCCTATTGCCCCCAACATACAAGAAGCTTTTAAAACTCTGATTGAACATCTTGTTGTGGCCCTCCAGCAGAATTGGGGGCAAACTTGGATAGTGAAGAGGTTGGGGAAGAACATGGGCCAGTCCTGGAGTCTGGGAAAGGCTTGGATGAGGGCTCTGCATCGGAGGCAGAGATGGGGCCAGGGCTGTCTGACAGTTACCAGCTACCTTCAGAGTCGGAGATCAGTGGGGAAGAAGAACAGCAGGAGCCTGTTCCCAGTGTGCGCATGCACAGAGCTGCCAGGAGAAAGGAACACTAAGGAACAAGGATCAATTCAGGAGTAAGGGCACAGGTGGACAGTGAATGGCCACTCCCATAGGGAATAATGAGTGAAAGGGGAGTGGGGTTTGCAGGAGACAATTAGTTCATTTAATTAGGGTGAAGATCTGTTCCTGACTTCTTGCCAAGTAATTGCTGCTACAGTGTGGTGTTTGGAAACTATCGGCCTGGCAATTCTCCCAGCCTGATAAAGGTCTGTGGTTGCAATTCACCCTTGTTTGCCGGGACTTTGCTGGATGTGAATGATAGGAATTCACATTAGCTTAATAAAAAGGGGTTTTGTCAGGACGAGGAATCCGCTTTGTGATTTGGTGAAGCCTGGGTCAGAACACATCTTCAAAGACAAAGAAAGTCCAGGTGCCTCTTGAAAAAGCACCTTTGGGATACACATCTAAAGATGGCTTTTATGTTGTAGGGGAGGGGGGGGTAAATTTATTTCGGAGCTTTTGAAAACGCCATTATTTGCCCTAAACTGCACCTGTAACTCTCAATGCAGGAAGCACAATAGCAACACTGACTGTGGGATTTATCTAGGGTGAATTCAAATGCAGGTGGGCCTCACCTTACGACCACAATTGAGGCCGACATTTGTGTAGCTAAGTGAGACGTTTGTGAAGTGAGGGTCCCGTCCCCCCCGTTTTATGGCCTTTCTCACCACGGTTGCTAAGTGAATCACTGCAGTTGTTAAATCAGTAACACGTTTATGAAGTGAATCTGGCTTCCCCCGTTTATGTTCCAGCAGCATTTTTGCCATGCCGAAAGAAGAAATGGAAGCAGACCCATGGACTGGGAGGACGCGCCGGAAGGCAGTGTTTGAAAATGAAGACCAAAGTGATGATGATGATGAAGAGGAGGAAGAGGGAATGTCTGTGGAGGAGGGCGTGGGAGACTCGAGTGACAATGACGAGGAGGGAGAAGACGACTATTTTCTACGCCAGAATCTGGTCTCCAGGTCTTCCGAGCGCAGCAAAAACGAAACGGAGCCTCTGCTCCTCGCAGAGCGGCCAGCCTTCGCTGACAGTGACGATGACCTTGAGGAGAGTTCAGGGGAGGAGGAGGAGGAGGAAGAAGAAGAAGACCCTGAAGAGACAGACGGAAGCGAAGAGGAAAAGGAGGCAACCCTTTCCAAATATACCGCCGGAAACCCAGCTCGGTTGGATAAGCCTCTATCGGGCGAAATGGACCACAAGGTGAGGAACAGAAGAAAGCTGGTCAAGAAAGCAGCCTGTATCACCTTGATTGAAAATGTTACTCCTGATGGAGCATCGATATCGGATTTAGGTGGACCTCCATCGTGGGAAGAGGACGGCCCCGGGGAGGAGGAGGAGGAGGAAGAGGACCTCCAAGGGTGGGACCAGGAAGAGACTCAACTACAAAGTGTTGACATCAAGATACAACATTCTGGGTCAATGAAGAATGAAGATGATGTGGAAGATCTTTTGAAAGAGGACGAAGACTATAAAGAGGCGTCTGGTTTTTCTTCAGAAACAATTGGTACGTACCTCTGAATCTCTTGAAATGTTTTTACGGCAATGATTTTTGGAGGCATTTATCCAGGCATCTCCCCTGTTTTATCTGGCGGTCAATTGCTTCGAACATTCACAAAGCCATTCTTCAGCTTGCACTTCTGTTGGCAGATATTTTGTATTTTTCAATAGTTACTGTAGCTTTTAAATTTTTAAATTTTTTTATTTTAAATACAAATAATACAAATGTAGTACATATACATCTAAATAGGGGGGGAAAGGAGAAAAAAAATACAAATATTACAGTGTACCCCCAAGCCCGGAGACCATTTTTTCCCTTATATTTCTTCTTCTGTAATAATTAAAAGATATACAATGTATTCCAATTATGCCCTTATCCCCTCCAAAGCAACATATATTCTTGAGTAGGTTCATTCCCTTGCCTTCCACCAACACTGTTTTTATAAAATCCCCCCATATTTCATTATATAATTGTTTGCTTTAATCATCACTTTTTAAATTTTAGTTTCTGTTGTTTATCATTTGTTGCCATATTCCAAATTTCATTATACCACTCGTTTCTTTGAATATCCCAATTTCGTCCCCAATATTTAGCCATCACTAATCTAGCTGCCATTATCAAATTTACAATCAGTTCCTTTTTGTTTCATTTATATCCCGTTTTTCCACCAGTAACGGTAATGCAATTCTCGGTGACATATCTAAATTTACATTCAAAAGGGCACTAATTTCTCCAAACACTATGTCCCATATTTTTGGTGCACTATCACAATCCTACCATGTATGTTTATTACCGTAGCCTTTTCTAGCAAGAGAAGTGAGGTCGAAATCCTGTGCACAGTTGCTTTGGTGTTAAGCCCAGTGAATGCAGTGGGACCTTTACACTTATTTGCTCTGCAACTCTGATTAAGGAGACAAACATTAACTGATGAAGTTGTTACATCTGGGCAATGTATTTATGTTAGCAGCTTTAAAAGAAATGGTGCAAATCATTGACTGTTTAATCTGATTTAGATAAAAGAACAATCTCTCCACCCCCCACCCCCCCTATTCTTTCAGGAGCTCTGAAATGGAAAGAAGACCTCACCCAAAAGGCAGCCGAAACCTTTTTGAGACAGCAACAGGCTGCTCCGAATCTCCGCAAACTCATTTATGGGACAGGTAAAATATAGATTGGCCTGCCTGTATTAGAGAAGAAGGAGGGGAGGGAGGGAAGAAGGAAGGTAGGAACAGAAGGAAGCAAGAAAAAGAAGAAGGGAGGTCAGTCATGGAAGGAAGAATGGAAGGTCAAGGAAAGAAGGGAGGAAAGTCAAGGGATGGAGAGAGGGAGGGTGGAGGAAGGGAGGGAGGTCAATGAAGGGAGGGAGGTACTGTTAAGGAAGAAAGGGAGGAGAGGAGGTGAAGGAAGGGAGGAAAGGGGAGGGAGGGTGGAGGATGGAAGGGAGGTCAAGGAAAGGAGGTCAAGGAAGATGGTCAAAGAAGGAAGAAGGGAAGGAGGAGGAAAGAATAAAGTAAGCTCGAGGAAGGAATTGTTGAGGTAATTCCCCGTTAGGAGAATGAGCGCATACAGGGAGACATATTTGAGAGGAGTGTTTTAATAATACACACAGAGCACACAGATACACTGTACAGCAAATGTAGGTTTTTACTTCCAGAAAGGTTTAAGCAAAGTCCAAAATAAGCAATCCAAAATCATTCACAGGTAAAATCAGTCAGTTTTCATCCAGGGATAATCCAAATATCAAATTCCAGTGTCAAAAACAGTTCAGTATCAGACTTACATTAAATCCAGTAATATCAGTCAATTAGAAGAAATGGAGCAACGGCAATACTTTCCAACAGAAGGAAACAGAGATACACTCACACTCTCTTCTGAGACTCAGACTAAGACTAAAACAAGCCAGGTTTCTGGCTCCATCTTATGACCATTTGAGTAACCACACCCAATTGCAGTTTTTAGCATGCTCTTAAAGAGACAGTATTAAAATGTTTATCCTGGTTTATATATTTCTAACCCAAATAGCTGTTAGGTGACTCATATTCCTAACAGGAATGAAGGGAGGAATGTCAAGGGAGGGAGGTACTTTAAGTCAAGGAAGGAATGGTGGGAAGGAGGTCAAAAAAGAAAGGAAGGAAAGAAGGAAAGAAAGGGGGAAGGAAGAAAGGACCTTAGGCAAATGTCCAGGCGCAAAGTTTAGTGAGATTGTCATCAGTCAATCATTAGTATGATGAAAGCAAGCGAGGAAAAAAAGGCCAACATTTCCCCTCCAGATGAAAACTTTTCCATTTGGCTTCTTAGTTGCAGTTCCTAATCGGGGATGGCTTCTGAGTCTGTTTTAGCTTGGCAGGGGTCTTAAAGGCACCTGCATTCTAGGTCGAAATGCAGGCAGTAGAAAGAGGATGAAGGTGGGATTGGCAATGGGACTTGCAAGAGTGAATTATTTTCAGTATTTGCACACCACCACTTCCTTAGGGGGAGTGTCTTTTGGGAGGTTTACTGGATTTAAAATGGTAAGCCTCAACAATTACCTACCACAGCAGGACAGCCAAAACGTAGATACAGGCCAGTTGCCATTTTTGATCTTAACTGGGGGTGTGGAGTGAGGTTCATAGGACTAGTTTGTAGGTCATTGTTTTCAGTCCCTTCGCAACGTCAAATGGTCATGAAACGAAGGGTTCTCAGGCGAGGACGGCTTCTAATGTAGCCGCGAGAATGTTTAATTGTCGCTCAAATGCTGCCTTTATTCTTCCTCAGTGGCTGAGGATGCGGAAGAGGAGGAGGAAGGAGAAAGAGATGCGGAACTTGGCGGGCTGTTTCGCGTCAGCCGTCCTGACAAAGAATCGAAACGAAAGATTGATGCTCTGGATTGCTCCAAATTTCCCACGGAAGCCCCACAAGACTGGGACCTGGACGAGGTACGGCTTCTTCAGATGTGTTGGCTGATGAACTGGGTGTCAACTGTCCGACTAGCGAACCCGAAACAAGGAAGCACTCTCGGGAGATTTGAACTCCCAAAAGTAAAACTTTATTGGTGATGAAGAATCAAAACCAGCTCTGATTTTCTCTGCGCAAAGTGTTGCTCAGTTAAGCAGTAGCTTCCCTTCCTCCCCACCCAATCATGAGACGTCCTTTTGATATGGGAACAGTCCACCTCTTTTTCCAGCACCTGCAGCAGGGACCTTGATGGTTGCACAGGTTCTCTCGGTCTACGCACTCGGTTCTCAGCATGCCAGTCGACACACTGTTTAAATGAAAGATGGATTTATTGTAAATATAAAATATTTTTTTTTCCAAAAAAGAAAAAGAAAAGGTCCCTTCCAACTCTGTCCTTCTATTCTATACTATTTTGCAGGTGAAGGACAGCATCCGAGATTGTTTCGTGACCGGAAAGTGGGAAGCGGACAAAGACGCAGAAAAACTGTTGAAGGAAGATGGTAAATCAGAATCGGAGGGTGTCCCTCGCTAGTTATTTTCTTGGAAGCAACCTGGAGGGGGGGAAAAGTATTGTTTCTTCATGCAAGGTAGTCCTCGATGTACGACCGGTTGCTTAGCAATGGTTGGAAGTAATGATGGACACTCCCCCCCCCACAACAGCTACTTAACAATCCAGTTTTGATATCAGCCCAGTGTCTGCCAGTCACGTGACTGCGCTTTATGATGGTTTGCCAGAAACCAGCATTTAAAAGGTGGTAAGATCAGGTCCGTTTCACATGGCGACCCGCTTAAGAACTACCAAGACTTTTTTTAAAAAAAGTTTTTTATTTTTTACACATCTCTTCACGTGAGCAACGTGATTCCAGGTTACAACATTTATACAGTCATAATTGCATTTTCAACTTTCTTATCTAATATCAAATCATTATCTATTCCACTGATCTTTAAATAAGTTCTCATTTCATATTTCAATTCATTACTTCAATATCAAAAAACATTTCATCCTCACCTATATTTTCAATTCTTTATCCCCTATTATTTCCATTTTCAGCTTACCACCTATTTTATTTTACATTATTCATTATTACCTTCATTATTTCATTTTTACTCTTCTTTGACTGTTTATTATAAAACTAATAATATTCAGGATCCACATGGTATATCCCCCAGTCTACAGTAAATCTTATATTTATTCCAGAGATATTCATATAACCATTTCATATTTTTTCTTGGTTTCCACTAAGACTTAATGACCAGGCTCAATTATGGTCGTAACTCGAAGACTGCCACCCTTCCTGTCTGTAAGGTGGGCATTGGTGAACATCTGAGGATGAGGGCATCATTAGGAGAGGATAATTTGGAATAAAACATGCCTGATCCAAAGTATCGCTGGGTCAGATGGCGAGGAGACTAACAAAAATACAGGCTGTCCCCAGGTTACAACAGTTTGTTTAGTGACCGTTCAACGGCACTGAAAAAAATGACTAACAACCTCTTTTCACACTTACGACCATCGTGGCATCCCTGTGGTCACGTGATCGCAATTGAGACCCCCCAACTGACTCACATTTACGACGGGTCGCTGTGTCCAGGGGTCATGTGATACCCTCTTTCACGACCACCTGACTAGCAAAGTCAACGGGAGCCCGGATTCTACTTAACAACCGTGTGGCTCACTTAACCGCTGCAGCGATTCACTTAACGACCGTGGCAAGGTGGTAAAATGGGGGGGAAAGCTCTTATGATGACTTGGAGTGTAACACAAACATAACAAAATCTAAAACGTAAGTAAATGTCCCTTTTAATGCCTCCAACTTGGCCCCACTGTTCAATAATACTCAGTTGGAGATAAAACGTACTCAAAAATAGTCTTCAAAAGAAAGCAATACCGTCTGAACTTAATGAGCAGATAGAGGTGAAATAAAAAACCAAAACAAACTACAATGAAGGAATTTCCACAACGGATCAGGATAAGTAATTACCAATTGCCAGGATATAACAAGGCACAGTCTGTTGGAAGGACGCCAACCAAAGTAAAACATGCTTTGCTTCTGGCAATGCTGTGTTTTAACCGTCTCTCTTATATACTATTCTCCCCAGCTGTAACCAATGAGGGGGATCATGGCCGCCTCTTCTCTCGCAAGCTAAGTTTCTTCCTTCTCCATTCCTCCCTGCGTGTCCTAGGATGCAGAGGGGATGGGCCTGGTCCTTCCTCTGACTGCCCATCCGGCCTCTGCCTGTCGGCTATTCCTCCTCTCCCTCAGAGTCCGACTCTGAGGGCATGACAGCTCTCTTTAACGAACGTCTTACTTTAGCAGCAGAAATTTGGGGCTCAGTAGTGCTCGTGCATTGAGGACTAACCTGTATGGACCTCGGAAAGATGAACGCTAGTTCTCATTTCTGATTTTTTTTAAAATTTTATTTTCCAGAAGAAATATACGGTGATTTTGAAGATCTTGAGACAGGAGCAGTATATAAAGGCCGATCAGCTGATCAAGGAGACGAGGTTTGAGACTGTCTGATTATGTCTGATCTAACTGATAGGTGACGTGTGATAGAATAACAGAATAACGGAGCTGGGTGGGACCTTGGAGGTCTTCTAGTCCAACCCCCTGCTAAGGCAGGAAACCTTATACCATTTCAGACAGATGGTTGTCCAATCTCTTCTTAAATAATAACTCAATCTCTCTCCCTGAGCAACACTCAGGTTCTGGAAAAGTGTAAAAGATTCAAATTTAAATACAGGCAGGCCTGAGCTTAACTACGGTTCATTTAGTGACGGTCCCAAGTTACAACTACACCAGGGAAAAAGTGACTTTTGACCGGTTTTCATGCTTAATGACCGTTGGCAGCAACCCTACAGTTCACTCAAGAAATTCATGGATTTCTGCGATTTAATCTTTGACGTCAGCTTCTCCCTCCCTCTCTTATTTCCTGCAGTTTTTCTGTAGTTATTCTATCCTGTGATTTTAAATACATTTTATACACATTTTTTTCAGTCACGTCTGAGGGCCAATCGTGATTTTTTTAAAGAAGGAAATGTGTGAGACAGCAGCAGGAGTCTAGAATGGACAGTACCAATAAATTCAATGATGATAATGATAATGAACTATTGAAATTTCCTTGGGCATTTCCCTGCGGTGGTACATCAACACATATTTTTTTTCCAAAAGCCCCTCTTTGTAACAAAAACTATCAGTGACATTTGCATGGGAGTGGTGATCCAAGTTGTCCTATTCCATGGTGCATCATCTATGAATTCAGACCGTTGGCAGTGGACTCATAGTTATGACGGGCGCGGTGTCCTGGGTTTTATGTGACCCCCTTTGGCGACTTTCTGACAAGCGAAGTCAAGGCAGTCAATGCAGGGATTCACTGAAGTACTATGGCAAGAAAGGCCATAACACAGAGCAAAATTCATTTAGCAGCTGTTGTGGCCAGCCAGTGGAGCTGGCGGTGGACTCGGACAGTGAGGAGGTTGTGGAGGAACGTGGGCCAGTCCAGGAGTCTGGGGAAGACTCTGAAGAGGGCTCTGCGTCGGAGGCAGAGATGGGGCCAGGGCCCTCCGACAGTTATCAGCTGCCTTTGGAGTCGGAGCAGAAGAACAGCTGGAGCCTGTTCCCAGGGTGTGCATGCACAGAGCTGCCAGGAGAAGGGAATAGTTAAGGAACAAGGGTGAATGGCCCTTCCCATAGGGAAGAAAGAGGAGCAAAATGGGAGTGTGGGGTTTGCAGGAGACAATTCGTTCAATTCATTATGGTGAAGGTCTGTTCTTGACTCCTTGCCAAGTATTGTCTGCTACAGAATGGCGTTTGGAAGATATCGTCCTGGCAACTCTCCCAGCCTGATAAAGGTCTGTAGTTGTGAAATCTCATGAAAGACTGTTTGCCGGGACTTTGCTGGAAAGTGAATGAGAGGAATTCACTTTCACCTAAATAAAAGTGGTTTTATCGGTACGAGGAGTCTGTTTTGTGCTTTTGGGGAAGCCTAGGTCAGAACAGTAGTTGTCTGTTGCTTAGCAACAGAAATTTTGAGCTCCGTTGTGGTCGTATGTCGAGGACCGCCTGTATTTAACTTCGAGTCACTGCCCAATGGGATAGAGGCTTATGATTGTATGCAGGATTCCAACTTAACCAATACATTCAGAGGCCTTGCTGGGTGTAGAAGAAAGGGGCATCCTGGCCAGGATTTTTTTTTTTTAATTATGTGCTGCAGATTTCATTTGGTGGGGGGGAGAAAATTCAAGGCTTGAATGACTTGAATGATTATTATTTTTCTCCGTGCCGTTTAGGCGGAAAACGAAGAGGAAGAAGGCAACGCGGGAAAGAACCCCGAAGCGGCTAAGGAGGAAGAGGAGCAGAAGAAACGCATTGCGAAGAAACGCAAACTGAAAGAGATGTTTGACGCAGAGTACGACGGGAACACCACCTATTTTGACGACCTGAAAGAGGAGCTGCAAAACCAGGCTCAGGTAGAGCCCCTGGTTTGGATGAAGGGTTGGGAGGCCCAAGAGGATGGCCCGGCAACGTTCCTCCTTCAGGTCTTGCAGAGTTAATGTTGGAACAGGAGCTCATCTCCGCGAGCAAAGCGTGAATGAAGTCAAGCCAGCGTGAGACCAAAATGTCATATTGCTCTGCCTTGACTTGTCTTTGGTGCAGATGAAAGGGGAAGGGACAGAACTGCCGTCCGGTTTGTGATAGCAGTAGCCCTTAGACTTATAGACTGCTTCATAATGCTATGAGCAGCGATGGTGCAGTGGTTAGAGTGCAGTACTGCAGGCTCCTTCTTCTGCCTGCCGGCTGCCTGCAATTTGGCAGTTCGAATCTCACCAGGCTCCAGGTTGACTCAGCCTTCCATCCTTCCGAGGTGGTAAAATGAGGACCCAGATTGTTGGGGGCAAGAGGCTGACTCTGTAAACCGCTTAGAGAGGGCTGTAAATCCTTGTGAAGCAGTACATAAGTCTAAGGGCTATGGCTATCTTTCTTCCTTCCTTCCTTCCTTCCTTCCTTCCTTCCTTCCTTCCTTCCTTCCTTCCTTCCTTCCTTCCTTCCTTCCTTCCTTCCTTCCTAAGGTTGACTCAGCCTTCCATTCTTCCCAGGTGGGTAAAATGAGGACCCAGATTGTTGGAGGCAAGAAGCTGACTCAGTAAACCACCTAGAGAGGGCTGCAAAGCACTTGTGAAGCAGTATACAAGTCTAAGGGCTATGACTATCTTCCTTCCACCCTCCCTCCCTTCCTTCCTTGCTCAATAATGCCCAGCTTTAACAAGGCGACTTATAATCCAGAACTGAGCCTATTGTGGGAGGGCAGTTTGTCGTTTCGTAACTCAGCAGAATTGGCTCTGCAAGAACCCAAAAGACCAGCTGTGGGATTGTCTTGACGGGCCTCATTGCCATAAAAACTGTTGTGGTTGTTGCATCCCTTCTTGTGTTCGCTGTGCAGCTTAACCGGCTGGAGTTTGAAGATCAAGATGATGAAACCCGAATTCAGTACGAGGGCTTCCGACCAGGCATGTACATCCGGATAGAACTGGAGAACGTCCCGTGTGAGCTGGTGCTGCACTTTGATCCGCGCTATCCAATCGTCCTGGGCGGCCTGGGAAACACGGAAGGAAACGTGGGCTACGTGCAGGTATGTTAGGTTCTTGCCTGCTTCTTAACCAGGATAGAGAAAGAAGGGCAAAGATTTTCCCCTCTCCACTCGTGTCCGACTCTTGTGGGTGGGGCTCATCTCTGTGTCCTAACCGAGGGAGCCAGTGTTGTCTGAAGACACATTTTGTGGTCATGTGGTGGCGCAGTGCTTAGAATGCGGTCTTGCGGGCTAATTCTGCCCAATGCCAGCAGTTTGATTCTGACCAGTTAAAGTTGAGTCAGCCTTCCGTCCTTCCGGGGTCAGTAAAATGAGGACCCAATAGGCTGACTCTGTAAAGAGGGCTCTAAAAGCACTATGAAGCTGTATATAAGGCTAAGTGCTATTGCTGTCTTCCTTCCTTCCTTCCTTCCTTCCTTCCTTCCTTCCTTCCTTCCTT